ATAAAATGCTGGTTGGCCAGTAGCCAGGCAGGAAGTATAGGCGGGGCAAGCAGATGAGAATTCTGGGAAGAGGAAGGCTGAGTCAGGAGTCACCAGCCAGACACAGAGAAAGCAAGATGACAAGGCAGAACTGAGAAAAGGTACCAAGCCACAGGGCTAAATATAAATAAGAATGATGGGTTAATTTAAGTGGAAGAGCTAGTCAACCTCCATCAGTCACTGGACAAAGGCTCTATGATGTCAGCTAGGTTATTTGCTAGGCTGGTCACTAGAGTAGACTGGTCCAGGCACCCTCTGGACCACTGCCAGCAGACCAAGGTGGGGTCAACCTTGTGGATTCCTGAGAGCCTCCCCAGCACCCTGCCTCTTCCTATTCCCATGATGTCCTCATCTATCATGGTATCTTCCTCCCTGCCCTCCCACTCTGTCCCTGTTCCAGCTTGACCCTCCCATTTCCTTATGTTCTCATCCCCCACTCCTCAACCTCTGCCACTCCACTCATGTAGATCTCATCCACTTCTCCTTCACAGGGTCATCCATGTGTCCCTCCTAGGGTCTTTCCCTGTTAGCTAGCCTCTCTGGAGTTGTGGGTTGCAGATTGGCCATCCCTTCCCTCCCATTTAGTATCCACTTATGAGTGGATACTTACTTATGAGTAAGTACATACTATGTTTGTCCTTCTGAGTCTGGGTTACCTCACTCAAGATGATGTTTTGTCCACTGACTGATGGAGGCAGATACAGAGATCCCAGGCAGGCACCAGGCTGAGCTCCGGGAATCCAAATGATGAGAGAGAGGAGAGATACTGCAGGCGAGGGACGTCGAGATCATGATGGGAGGATGTGCAGAAATGACCAGCCACACTAGTGGAAGTCCATGAACTGTAGACTGGTGGCTGTGGAGCCCCCATGGGACTGGACTAGGCCCTCTGGATATGGAAGACGGTTGTTTGGCTTGAACTGTTTGGGGAGCGCCCAGGCAGAGGGATCGGGATCTGTCCCTGGTCTATGGGCAAGCTTCTGGAACCTGGTGCCTGTGGTATGAACCTTGCACAGCCTTGGTGCAGTGGGAAGGGGCTTGGGCCTGCCTAGGCTCAGTGTGCTGGACTCTGCTGACTCTCCATGGGAGACCTCCATTTGGGGGATGTGGGGATGAGGGGTGGCTTGGGAAAGAGGGCTGGGGGTGGGAAGAGGGAGGAGGGGGGATCAGTGGATAGTATGTGAAGTGAGTAGAAAATTTCTTAATAAAGGAAAATGAAAGAAAAAAAAGGGAAAAAAAGAGCTAGTCAGTAATAAGCCTGAGCTAATGGTCAAGCAGTTATAAATAATATAAGCCTTTTTGTGTTTACTTAGGGGACGTAGTAGGAGATATTGTCCTGACTGCCAGTCAGCCAGGACACAGGAAAACTTCCAACTATATATATATATGATATTTATTTATTTATTATTTATTATAATATGATAATTAATTTATTATAAAAATATGTTTGCAGGCTTATTTATAGTCAATAATTCAGAAGTAAATGGGCTGGAGATGTAAGTCAGTGGGTAGAATGCCTACCTAACATGCACAAAGACCTGAGTTTGATCTTAGTGGTTCATGTGGTGAGTTACAGCACATGATCCTGTCTCAAAAACAAAAGATGTTAATGGGTATGTTCTAGATGTCTTTAGTGGTCTAATATATTCTGCTTAAAAATAATATTTTCCAGAACAAAGTATGCAATTCATTTCCTAACTTGGAAGACTCTACACCCTAACCAAAATAGAATTTATCCTGAGAAATTTTCGTTCCATAGCTAATTGGCTTGTGGTTGAGAACTTAAATAAATGAATAATTTATTAAATTCAGATTTAAGGAAGCATAAAAATGTCAATATAGCTGGGATCATCCAATATGGTTTTGTGACAGTCCTGAGCTGACCTTGAACAGACAAATGAGCACAAGAAGCAATGAGAGACACAGAAAACAGGATGAACAAAACTGAGAAGGTAAGGCTGGTCACAGCCATATTCATGAAGCCATAAACAAACAGCCATTGCTGGGGCAGTCTATGAATTTAAGCTGCTAAGAAGTCACCAAATTGTGTGATAATCCTAAGAGTGAGTATCATGGAAAAGCCCTGTAAAACATCTACACTATCTCTATGAATAAGATAAAACATGCCATACCCAGAGATCACATTTTTACTCTCAATGAATATGTAAACCTAACAGACCCATCATCCTTGTCCCACACACAAGCACTTTTGTACTACATAAAGCAAAAACCTGCCCTACATAGGCTAGCTAATGCTCCATTAAAATGACCATTAACAAAGGCAAGCCAAATTTAGTCTCAGCGCCATGTGGCTTTTCCATCCCTAGTGACTACAAAGAAAGCTAATGTCCTCGTTTCCAAAGAGAGTTGCTATAATTAAAGTCTTATTTCAATGACCCTAACCACTATCATAATAGATTTTGCTGTCAAAAGAGTAAGAGAGAAAGAATTCCTCTTGGTCAATGAGTCTTACAGAAGATACAAATGAATAATCATTGTTGTTTGTTTCATCAGTATTTTTTTCAACATCAGTGTTCACCTTATAATTATACATGGGAAGTATAAATAATTGCTTCCAAAAATATTTGTAATCCTGTCTTTTACCCATCTACAGTTTCATAACCCTCTCTGCTTGTTAGGATAACATCTTTCCTGACAGGAGACTCAGGAAAGACACCAAAGGTTTTATATTTGAGGTAAGAACTCTACTGCTTAATTCCCTTTAGTGGTTACCAATAATTAATAACAGCTCCCCAAAGAGAGCTGATATGCTTTGAAAATCAAAGATTAACATCATATATACTTAAATTTATATATACTATCATCAAATAAATTTATGAAACATGACTCATTAGTTATCCATAAAAAAGACTATAAATGTTCACTCTCCTGCAAAGCATCACTGTTCTTGGAAGAGATTCAGTCACATCTAACAAACTCACAAGTGGTCTCGAGAGGTAGCTCATGGTTCTCCCAGGTGACTCCACAGTGCTGGATAGGATAAGATACCTTTTGGTTTTACAATTGGCTCCTTGGATGATTCCCAGTTACACTGAGTTGTATAGTACAGTGTCAGTGTCATACGAACACCACAGGTGAAAACACTCTGGACAATAAGTCTGAAATAAAAGGAAGGAAGGAAATGAATATGGGGGGATCAAGTCACAAAATCTACAACCAATACAAACCCAGAGGACTTGTGCTGAGACTGCAGCAATCACAATGTTTTAGCTAAAGCACTGCTCACTGAATCATGTGTGGAGCTCTTAATTAACTCTTGTATCTAGGTAACATACAAGATTCATCATGCAGTTTTTTGTGAACTGGGTCATTCTGTGTTCTTCAACGTCATCATTGTCTAAGGCATTTCGTGGAGAACAAACCAAGCACAGCTTGTGTCAGCTCCCAGGAATGGTTCATGTTTGGGATTGCTATGCCTACAATGAGAAGAATAATCTATGAAGATTTCCACCCATGCAGAAAGTTACCAATGCATATATTCTGGGTGATGATTGATAGATTCAAGGAAGTGGAGGAAAAGGAGAAATTATAATTATAGTCTAATATCTTTGCTTTCACAGCTGCTTTCTTCTTTTGCTAGTAAAAAAGTAATTCTTTCTTTAAACCTCTCAGTTTCTTGAAAGTAACTAGACAGAGCCGAGAGCAGATACCAGATTTACAATGTTTGTTAACTAAATCCTTTGCCTGTTCATTCTTATATACAATATATATGAGGGTGCCCAGAAATTGGTTAGAAAGAAGTATTCTTCATCCACAGACAGGAAACAAAGGTGCTTGTTCAGTCACCATGGAAATAAAAGCCTCTAAGCGGCTCAAAAGAAGCATTTGTGGTGATCTCTAGGCCTGGGAGACTTTTATGTGACCTAGGAAACTGTTTTTCAGTTGCATCCAGTGTTAATTAATAAAAATCCTAGGACTGGAAAGATGACTGTGTGATTAAGAGCACAAAATAGTCTCAAAAGAAGACCTGCGTTTGCAGAAGACCCACATGATATGGCTCACAACCACCTGTAACTCTAGTTCCAGGACATATTGTGCCTCTGTTCACCACAAACACACATGCACACACATAATGAATTTTTTACTTAATTTACATTTAAATTCATAGAAGGAGTCTGGCAAGAAGGCTCAGTGGTTGAAGTGCCTGATGCTCAAGCAAGAGAACCAGAGTTCCAATCAGGTCCTCAGAACCTACTTAAATGGTAGGTGGTCATGGCAACTCATCTACGATCTGGCATTGGAAGGTAGAGACTGGCTCCCTAGGATGACATGTCTCATTGGTGAGCTCTGGGCTTCATTAAGAGATCCTACCTCAAAAGAATGAGATTGGAGAACTATCAAAGAGAAATCCTGACATCATCTGTAAGCCTGAACATACATCAGCACCTATATGTGCATGCACCTGTAAATACGCATGCACTCATAAGAGAAAAATGACACAAAAGCCTATATGAATGGATGATGAGCATATTATCACCACTATTTTTAAAAGTATTCATTCAAATGTTTAATATCATCTTGTAATTCTATAAATCAGCACATAAATCCATTTAAAGGGACTGTGGATAAGTTATTCAAGCATGTGCATTGATATTAAAGCTGCAGGTGACAGGCTCTGCTCTTGACAACTTAAGACAACTGAGCATTCAGGGAGAAAATGTCATGTGGATACAGCAATGTGTCTACAACTTACAGGGAAATAGAATAGATAATGAATATTTTATTTTGCCCAGAATAGCAACAAATTCAGTCTTTGCTCAAGTGTAAACAGGGACCATATATTTCCTTGGAGTTGCTAATAAGAAAAAAACAAACAAACAAACAAAACACTGCTTCAAAGAATAGAGTACGTACATTTAGTATCAATAATCTATATGAAATCCACTTGAACCATAGGTGGAAATAAAAACAACTATTCTTTTTCTTTCTTTTAACATTAGGTCATGGAACTAAAGGAGTATTTGAGCTTCTGTCTGGATGGCGGAGAACCAAAGAGAATTTACCCTTCAAAGACAGGGTGGCAGACGCCTATTCGGATGTGATGGTCACCTACACCATGACCAGCTCCCTGTACTTCATCACGTTTGGTATGGGGGCCAGCCCCTTCACAAACATAGAGGCAGTGAAGATCTTCTGTCAGAATATGTGTGTCTCTATTCTATTGAACTACTTCTACATTTTCTCTTTCTTTGGCTCTTGCCTGGTCTTTGCTGGACAACTAGAGCAAAATCGATACCACAGCATCTTTTGCTGTAAGATCCCTTCTGCAGAATACTTGGACCGCAAACCTGTGTGGTTCCAGACAGTAATGAGTGATGGGCACCAACAGACATCCCATCATGAGACAAACCCTTACCAGCACCATTTCATTCAGCACTTCCTCCGAGAACATTACAATGAATGGATTACCAATATCTATGTGAAGCCATTTGTGGTCATCCTGTATCTCATTTATGCCTCCTTCTCCTTCATGGGGTGCTTGCAGATCAGTGATGGAGCTAGCATCATCAACCTACTAGCCAGTGACTCCCCAAGTGTTTCCTATGCCATGGTTCAGCAAAAATATTTCAGCAACTATAGTCCCGTAATAGGATTCTATGTCTATGAACCCCTTGAATACTGGAACAGCAGTGTCCAGGAGGATCTGCAGAGGCTCTGTAGTGGGTTCACTGCAGTGTCCTGGGTGGAGCAGTACTATCAGTTTCTGAAAGTCAGCAACATCAGTGCCAATAACAAGACTGACTTCATCAGTGTCCTACAAAGCTCGTTTTTAAAAAAGCCAGAATTCCAACATTTTCGGAATGATATCATTTTCTCTAAGGCGGGGGATGAAAACAACATCATTGCTTCTCGCTTGTATCTGGTGGCCAGGACTAGCAGAGACAAGCAGAAAGAAGTCATAGAAGTTCTGGACAAGTTGAGGCCCCTGTCTCTCTCAAAGAGCATCCGGTTCATCGTGTTTAACCCTTCCTTTGTTTTCACAGACCATTACAGTTTGTCAGTCACTGTGCCTGTTCTGATCGCAGGCTTTGGGGTTCTCCTGGTGTTAATCTTGACTTTCATCCTAGTGATCCATCCTCTGGGAAACTTCTGGCTCATTCTTAGCGTCACCTCAATTGAGCTGGGCGTTCTGGGCTTAATGACCTTGTGGAATGTCGACATGGATTGCATTTCTATCTTGTGCCTTATCTACACTTTAAATTTTGCCATTGACCACTGTGCACCACTGCTTTACACGTTTGTATTAGCAACTGAGCACACCAGAACACAATGTATAAAACGCTCCCTGCAAGAGCATGGGACAGCCATTTTGCAAAACATTACTTCTTTTCTTATTGGGTTGGTCCCCCTCCTATTTGTGCCTTCAAACCTGACCTTCACACTGTTCAAATGCTTGCTGCTGACCGGGGGTTGCACGCTTCTGCACTGTTTTGTTATCTTACCTGTGTTTCTAACCTTTTTTCCTCCTTCCAAAAAGCACCACAAGAAAAAGAAACGTGCCAAACGAAAGGAGAGAGAGGAAATCGAATGCATAGAAATCCAAGAGAACCCTGATCATGTCACCACAGTTTGAGGGTGGAGACTTTTCCTTTTCCAGTGTTGCACAACGATACAGGGCAAGTCAAGCTCAGACCTCAGCTGCTTGGGCTGGCCAGGGGTAACAAGGCAAGTCAGATCAAGAGTGTATTCTTCATGACATGTCCAAGGGTCTGCTTCCTGTGGGGGAGGGGGGAGAGGGACTGAAAGGAGGGAAAGTTCTTTGCAACCTTATTCTCCATGAGAGAAGAATTTCCAGATACTGATCTTAGAGCTTTTCCAAGGAATGGATGGATCATACGTTAAGACAGAAGGCTGAAAGAGCTAAGGATTCAAAAGCAATGCTTAGAAGAAATGGAGAAGAGAGGTGGTGGTCTCCAGATAGGGGGAAAGACATAGGAAATGTCTAAATTGCCATGTCACTTTTCATGTTTGTTTTTTGAACAGGTCAGTCAAAGGAAACCTATGCACATGGGAAGTACATATTTAATCCTGTCTAAACCAAAGGACCACCCAATCCATTTTGTGTGTACATATAAGTATATAGACACTTATACTTGTCTTTAGCGTACATTGGTGTTTGGGTGAAGAAAGGTGTCCATTTGCAGATAAGGCTGGCCTTTCTCTAGAAAGTCAAATCAGCTTTAGCCAAATATATAAGCTCACTAGGGGAGATGCAAAATATATAAATGGCCACTTAAAATCAACTCAACTGTCTAGACAGCAAGAGTGTTTTCAACTGTGTGATTAAAAAAAATAAACAGAAATTTGAATCCATTAAATTCTACATGTCATGTTGTTGGTCATTGAGATTCTAACTTTGGGACGACTTCACAAAAACATTAAAAGGTATTTGAGTTAGTGAGCATGTGGACAGATGTTTAAAACTTAAAATAGTTGAGATGGCTTATCATTAGCCTTTAACATTTCTGTGTATTTGGAAGGCCAGCATGGCTGCTCTTGGATATCTCACCCACCTGCAAATGAGCACTTTAAGCATATTGTCCTTGTATACATATGTAAGGGTACACAGTATATGTGTGAGAGAGAAAGGAAGAATGAGATAATATTCCACAGTTACACGTTCTTATTTTAGATGATGAAAGTACACGGCTGTGGCAGACAGCAATTAACACAGGAAAAAGAAAGTGCACAGGAAACTCAGAGAGTAAAATGGGCCAATGCTATTCATCATCCCAACATCAAACAGTCCTTAGTCTAAGAAAAACTTGTCAACTCTATAGACTCTACTATGTTCCTTGGAATAAATTTGGAGCATTAACCCGGGCCACGATCACTATGGCTGCAGCATCATTTTGTACTTTCTTGCAGTTATCATTGTCTTGTTAACTAGAAAGTAAGCTCCTACAGGAAGCATAGCTCTCTGCAGGGGCCATACTAACCATGTGTAATTGCTGCTGCATTCTTTATATTTAAAAAAAATGTACTGAGGTAATGTTTCCATTGAGTTAGTGTTTAAATCTGTGCCCTAGGCAGGTACTCAGCCTGCTGGGTACTTACATGGACTAAGGCTGTTATTCATGTTGGAGAAAGTTACTAGAAAATTCCTTTTCCCTGCCGTGTAGGGACCTAAGGAGCAATTTATTTCCAGGTAGAATAAAACAAAAGCTCAACGATGACGCAGTCTGCTAACAAGTTCTTCCTCCCAAAGAAAGCTGATATTTCCCACCCACGTGGGTTGTATAATTTAACTGCATTGGTAATATTAATACCCTTAAAAGGCAAACCATTACTAGAACTCTTAGAAAATCCCATTCCTTTTACAGTGTTTGGAAATGATGTTGATAGATTCATGAAGCAAGAGCTCTGCTTTGATAAGCCATGCAGATTTTAAAATGGACATCTGTTAAATAAAATTTCAGTTGATGGAATGGCATTTGTTCTATTCTACCTTAAGACCACTGTGTTTCAATGTCTCCCTGACTGTGAGTGCAATAACTATAGAATTAAGTAGGGAACATAACTGCCTATAGCCACATTTGATGTTTTCTCTGTATCTGTAAAATCATGTCACAGTTAAGGCCAGCCTTTCATCTCATGAACTTCTGCACAAAGGAAAACTGGCTTTCAAATAGTTGACCTCCAGGCCATGATCTTATATTTGAAGTTGAATTTTCTGAGCAGTCTTTGGAGTTGGAGAACAGAATTCCTCTTTCGCAGTTCCTCAACATTTATGAAGATTGCTATCATTCGCATCTGTTTGTAAAGACGGCCACTAAGACACTGAGGATCCATGTCACTCCATTTCTGGCTGTATTCAGTGGTACTCCATTCTTTCACCTATTTTGTATTTAATATTAACTTATTTGAGTTTTATAATTACGTTAAATCATTTCAGAAGCAAAGACAAACAAACAAAATGATTGCCAAGCTAATTGGCCTTGCCAATTGCCAGATTTATGGGAGTACAGCCACATATTCTGCCAAACCAATAATTTTAATCTCTCCCAATGCACTTGAATGGGAAAAGACTTGTTCATGTGTTAGATAATGTCTTCAAGGATCAAATGTGTAGTATAAATAGGAATTTCTCATTGTCCAACTGGCTAGAGAGGTAGCATTTTAGAAGAGATGTTATCTTCTCCAGAACACCGTGATTTTCTCTAAGGAATTGTAGCAATAATTAACTGAAATGAAACTCCATGTTCTGGAAGAGTAATAGAATACCCAAAATGCCTTGACTTGGTCTTTGGAAGTAGTTTGAGCCCAGAAAAATCTCACCAAGCGTCATCCAAACCTTCCAACCTCACTGTGAAGCAGATATTTCCAAAAATTCCTTTACTGTGTATCAAGTTGCACCCTAAAATATGAGATTATGATTTGGAGGTAACCCTCCATTCTCAACAATTTCTGGTAGCTTGTATACTCCCCTCTCTAGTTTTTAAAGTTTATGCTCATTTTGTCCATTTGTGAAATATTGATGGTATTCAAGTTAGGAATTTAACTACTATCAAACAGTGGACCATTCAAACACTAGAAGTAATCAGTGGAAAATCTTTTAGATTTGTGGAATATTTTACTTTACTGCAATGCATTTTTCCTTAAAATGGGAGATTTTTAAAAACTTGTGAACCCCACAGGTTTTCTTGTTTAAATTGGACTGTGTCCCCATCAGAATGTCATTTATGTTCTACTTTCCTCAAAGAGAAACTCACCTAAATTATCAGACAAGATTTATCTAAATGTTCCATGGGTTAACTTACATCATGTGTAAGTCTGTTGAAAGAATGTGTCCTTATGCATTGTCCTGTGAGTTCTTGCGGTGATCACAAACCTCTTTGAAGGCTGTGCATGAATAGTCTTTCTCCCAGTTGACTTCCATTTAATTTCCACAGAAATAATTCACGTTTTATCTTATGTTGTGAAAGGAAGAATTGTGATACACAAAGCTCCTATGATGCTATAATAGCCATTCTTGTACGTTGAACTTGAGTGTAAGAGCTATGTCCATTCTGTAATTATTCATTGCACTTTACCATAACAAGCCAATCCTTCTAGACTAGAGCTGGGGATTAACTATTGCCATTCAGAATGTGTGTGTATTTTTATACATTGACTGTAAATATTGTCGTTACAGTCAGATATTTTTATAACCAAATAGTTATAAATGCATGGCACAATGCATGCATGGTTACTAATAGTATGTAGATTATTAAAGACAATGTTTTCAGGGTTATTACACGTTTTATTAAAATTTTCATATCCCCTATCATAAATGTCTCATAGGATTTTGGTCACAAAGGCCTAAAGTCCACAGAAAACTTCATACTAAGGGAAGCAATCAGAAAATTGCCTTCTCATAGTGTCAACAGCAGCTGCCTGCACTAAGATGGCCATGGCTCTGGTCTCTTGGGTAAAGGACCAGGCAGAGTCTGCATTAGCTAGTGATTAAACATACTTACATGCCCTGGGTTTGCTAAGGTCAGAGTCAACCAGAAGCTATCACACCTTAAGAATGGACTTGTGATGTTGTCTCCTGGGACTGGAGAATTCTGTGAGTTACTCTTCCCAGAGGGAAGTCTATGTTCAACCAGTTTTGTTGCTGTTTTCACAGTGTTCTGATAATGCTTTCAAAGGTGACCCTGAAAGTTTTCATTTATTTCAAGGGAATTACAAGATCACTTTCATTCTCTTAAAAAAAAAAAAGACAAAATTCTTGCTCTTCCTGTTTACAAAACAAAAACAAACAAACAAAAAACAGCAACAAACAGTTATGGCAAATTTTTACGGCATCAAATCAAAACATCTACAGCTCAGTTAGTATGCCCTTGAAATCTCCCCATCTCAAATGTAAACAAAACTCTGCATCATCTCTGTAGCAGGCACTTATGCCAGCCTTATTCCATCGGCAATGATCTGCAGATACACTGCACATACAATAATTACATTTTCTTTTATAGCTTTTCTTTAGAAATGACTGCAGCGACAGTGACAAAAATCAAAGGCATTTTCATGACATTCAGCACACAGGTGCTGCATGTGAACGTACTCACACTTCCATTTCTGTATCCGATGACCCATGTTCATCTATGTCGTGTTGTAGACAGGAAAGCAAGAGGTACTGCTCTGGGTTTCAAATGTTTTGGAATTCAGGTCGATGACATTTGGATGAAATTGGAAGACACTGAAAGACAGACAAGGCTACCTCTAAGAAATCGAGAGAGTGTGTGGGTGTAATAGGAAGCGTGACATCACTGAAGTCCTTACATACTAGACTTTATAGGTTAGAAAATAGCACAGAGGGTCAGATGGTGCCTCAAAACTAGAGCGTCTTAACTGCTAGCAAACCTAGCTATGTGCAACTATATCCCACTTGAAGATCGCGCTCTTGTCTGGAAGATTCAGACACTGAGCCTGATTCTGGATTTCTAAGCATGACCAGATATGTAGACCCTTTTGTGAATGAGAGCAAGAAGCTGAAGGACTCTGGGGAGAGACTTCAAATTAACACCCGGGAAAGCATTCATTTTCCGGATACTGTAATACATATAATGATCTTGACCATTTTCTATGTATTTAATGAGGGCCTCCTCTATATTGTTGATAAAGAAGTCATTTGCTTTTCTTGTGAAATGGAAAACAATTCAAAGAAAGACTATATGGAACCAGTATTGCAGAGTGTGTGGCTAATGTATTGAACACATCTTAGCTCTTCTGCATCCTTAGGTTGTCAAGATAATAGGAGCTTAGGCTACACAAGGAGCCTTTGCCAGATAGGTATTTTTAATTCAACAAAATATTTATAAATAAGATCATTGATAATTTTGCACTTTTATAAACTGTTGGAATCCAGTCCCTACTATTTCACCCAGCTGAATTTTCCCTAAAAAAGCTGGCATAGGTCAAACTACTTTTGAAAATTCTAAAAATCAAAAGGAAAGTTGAGAACATGAAAGTAGGAATGATTCACAAGCTCTTGGTGATTCTTGCTCCATTTCTTGGGTTCCTGTTCATCCAAGCAGGAGCTGGTATTAGTCATTCGTAATTGTGTTCCACTTTGCTGTGTGGCTCATGGCATGCCTGATATGGTTTCCTTCCCCTTTGTTTTTACAGTTACTAAAGCGACTCCATTATCTCCAGGGCTCTCTCAAACCAGTGGAAAAATAAGAGTTTTAAATTTTTGGAAGATTTCATTGAAGAGTTTCCTGGAAAGTATTAGGAGTGACCACCATGGGTAAAAGATAAGTGGAGCTTATTACAAATGTGTCACTTTCCAGTCCTGAATAGATTTAGTCCGGATTCTTGGTAAAGATTGTCCACAGCACACTGTGAGAAACATTACATTATCTAAATGTGAGAAGGGAGTAGAATCTCCCAGTGGAAACTGAAATCACTTCCACCATCAGAGCTGGTAGATTGCAAGTACTAACAGCCACAGTGAGAGACCTTGAAAAAGAAAAGAAGAAGCTTCTGTGGTCTTACAAGTCTGGTACAATCTAAAACATCTGTGTCTATATAGATTCAGGATATCCCAGCATCTTCTCTCCTCTGACATAAAAGTCCGTTATTGAAATATCCGACCTTCCGCTCATCTGTGTGAATATTGCAAGGTATCTGCAGAGCTTATGCAACAAGCTTATCTTATGTTCCCATTAATTATGCATCTCCTTTCAGCAATAGACTTCCTTGCTCTTAAGTAGGAAATCTGTCACTGTTTGAAAAGGGCAGAGATCTCACTAAGCTACCTCACAGGGATACTTAAAGATAAAATGGCGTACAGCCTTTGACTAAATGGTAATATAATACATTTATTGCCCTTTTACTTTGTAAACTTGTACCAAGCTAGCTGCAAAATGAACACCCATGTGTGCAGCTTTACCTGTTCCTACCATTTACTGTATGCATTCACCAATATGACATCACTTGGGGAAGCTGTTCAGTTATCTCTTCACAGACATCCTGGAGAATGAAAATTAATTCAGAAAGAGTATTACTTTAGAAAGAGTATTGCCTAGGATTAACTTTGAGACAGCGGCCTGTCAGCAAGATGCGTCACCAAATGCTCTGTGACTAACTTCAAAGAGCAGCCCATGTGCTCTTCCTTTCAGTGGACAGGAAAAATCAATCCATGTCTTTAATAATGCTAAGCAAATATGAAACAATAAAGATATATTTACATCCTAAGATCTTTTCCCCCAGTAGGAAACTACTGTTCTCACCTATCAGTTAGGATTCTGAAACACTGGCTGATGAAATCAGTGAGGAGAAAATTTCTAGGAAGGACCACCTCACCCTCAGACTTAAAAAAAAACCACAGGCGTGAAAGTAGAAACTGAGTGTTTTATTTCTTTTCCTTTCCCAAAAGAAATATCCACTGGTTCACAATCCTGGCTCAGTAAGACGCTAGTCTCTACAACAAAATGAAGAATGAAAACACACATGGAATTGTAAGGCTCCAGCATCTTACCAATACAAACCACATGGCAAAATACCACTGCCAGTCAGCTTTGGCCATGAGAGTGAATTTTTAATACAATATTCTTTTTACATATAGGTTCTTTGCATTCTTTTTGTAAAAAAAAATAAATAAGCCTTATATACCACTCCCAAGTTCCAACGAATGGATTAAAGACACCTGTTCCAGAGTTCTGCACACAGGGCTCCACCCCTAAAGCTACCTTATTTACAGAAACTTGAAGGAAACAAATTTGATACCAAAAAGTGTGACTTAATTTGTAGTTCAGTGTCAATATCTTCTCCAAAATAGTGGATTGCTCAAATACACATCTTAGATCTTACTAAGATGACTTTAGAAAGTCATTCCAGTGTTTTCAATTTGCCCAAATTTTGTCAATGTTCAAAATTTATATGTATTTCCATTCTAGGCAAGCAAAATAAAATAATTTAAAAGTGAGGTTTTTGTAACTGTCATAGGAATAAGTAAATGAGATTCTCTCTGGATTTTCACCTATAAATGTACATTCAATAACTGAATGAATCTCACACCTCGATAAATAGAAACTGTATTCTAAATATTCATTTCATTATTATTTTCAAATTTTGGATGTCTTGACTTCACAGTGTGACATAGCATAAGCCATGCATTTTAAATGCTTCATTATATATAGATATATGTATGGTTTTATTTTTGCTGTATTGTTTCGTGATGCTGGGTCTCATTGTGTAGTCCTGACTGGCCTTGGACTCAGAGATCCCCTACCTCTTTCTCCAGAGTACTGGGATTAAAAACATGGGCTACTACATCTAGGCAGGGGTTTAGTCCCTATTGGAGATTTGTTTTCTTTGTTGTTTTTGCTTGCTTGTTAAATAATTTGAGATGGGGGTCTTTCTATGCAGCCCCAGCTGACCTGGATCTCAGTGTGTATCCTAGTCCTGACCTAGAACTCATAATCCCCATGCCTCCCCATCTTGCCAACCTCCCAGATTCTAGGATTACAGGTGTGCACCATCACTCTTGGATTTTTTCATTCTCTGAATTTTTAAGAATATTTTTATTGGGGTTGGAGGGATGGTTCAGCAGTTAAGAGAACTGATCGCTTTTCCAAACGACGAGGGTTCAATTTCCAGCACCCACATGGCAGTTCATAACTGTCTGTAATTCTAGTTCTACGGGATCTGACACCCTCACAGAAACATATATGCAGGCAAAACACAATACATGCAAAATTAAAATAAAAGAAAAGAGAAATAATATTATTTATTTAAAATAATACTATGATATACATCAGCCAGCCCTACATAGTTAAGATAATTCACCAACCAAAGCAAATTAACACATCTTGGCAGTCTTATAAGACATTTTTATGAAACCCTAAGTCCATAAATATCTCTACAATATGTAAAGTAGGAATCTATTACCAAAAATAGCCTCAATCATTGTACTAATTTAAAATCTGAAGTAATGTGTAGTTGGCACAAATAAATTCTGCCCAAAATTTATTACATTATCTGAGCCAATTCTCTCTGAAATTTATTGCATCATAGTGAATTCCTGCAATGACAAAAGGTCTAAAAAAATGCTTTAATTCATCATTTTTCTCACCACTCGAGAACACCAACAATAACTAAGACAGCGAGCCCCTAGGCAGCATGCAAGCTTAGAAAAGGAGACCTATTACACTCCAGGGCATACAGCTCCACATCTGGATGAAATTACAGGCCTTCAGCAATCGCTCCCAAGTCCTTCAAATCAAGAATTGTGAGGAATACATAGTTAGCCCACATGCACGAGAATCAAGTGCACCAATCACAAAGTCATATTGAAACAAATTAAGAGCACACAGCCCACATCAAAGGCTATCGCTACTAAGCCTTTGTCCTCAATAATGGCATTTTCAGAATTAGAGTCATGTGCCTTGGAATGTCTCATTTTGGGCAACTTTTCACAGTTTTTTAAAAACAAATATGCTCTTGCTACTCCGGGGGAAAAGTTTTTAATTTATTCATTAGCTGTTTCCCATCTGGGATTTAATATTTTTATTTGTAATTAACTTTCTTTTCCTCTTCGGGTAAAATTATTTTTCCATGTAACAACTAAAATGCTTTTCCTTTGGTTAAGAATAAGCATGTCTTGCATGAAGTGAAGTCAGAATTTAGCAAAATATAAGATAGATATGTGAGCATGCTTGCAAGCACACAATTCAGAGAAAGTTTGCTCATTGATACTTTATGTGCTTCAGGCAGAAATTCCCCTCATAGTTTAGTCTTAGAAGCTGCCACAACATGGGGCATTCCTCTTAGAGAACATTCAGTAATTATATATTCAATGATAAAAGTTTTTTTTTTTAAAAAAAAGAACCCTGCAGCTTCTCACTTGTGATCTATGTGAAAAGTGAATTTTTTAGCCAACTCAACCTGTGAAGAACTATACCTAGAATATATTTTTATTTCTTGTTTTCTTGGAATATTCTCTCTTATATCCAGTTATACATGAATGAGGAACAATTTTATTTTGGTTCACATAGCCATTGCTGATACGCTGAAATGCTGCCTCCTAGAACTTTACCCAATGTGATAGTTAAATATAATTTTTAAAAATCATATTGGTACAAAAATTAAAACAAATGAAAAAGTCCTTAAATATTTGAAAAGAAAGATTTGGTTTGGTGTCTTCTTGTTAGTTTATTTTGGCATTTTTGGGGGGAAAAAGATTAGAAGAGATCAGAAAAATTTTGACGTATCTAAATCTCTGAGGTTTCAAGCTGCTCTTCACTCCTCATGGCCTGGATTTTATTTATGTCCTCTCTCAATGACTTGGATCTTGTTCATTTACTCAGCAATTATTAGGGGTACCTGCACTGACATCTTAAAAAAGGATTCAGAAGAATACCAAGGTTAGATCTCCCAACAGGGTGGCTAGAGGAAATTCCTTTATGTGATATTTAAGGAAACTGGAGAGGGAATCATGAATGTCTACACTAAGAATCTAAATGTGGAACAAGAAGAGGGAGAAAAGGTGTTGGGGGTGAGGACTGGACACATGGTCCAGGCTAAGGCTGTGGCACCACCTCACAGAGTGGGTACAGGTGCAGCAGAATATATTGTGAGGATGCTACAAATGCTAACCAGGACCTAAGAGGGTCATTTGGAATGAGAAGTGCATTCATGAAGAAAAAACTCTTTTCAAAAAAACATTTCCAGGCTTAAAATTATGTTCTTACACAAGTTAAACACAATAGTCTTCATTTCTTTACTTCTGTAGCTATTATCAAAGTCAGGTACTCAAAATTCAGAACTTCACATAAGATTTTATACTAACTTCACTTAGTATGCAGTGGTGCCAAGAGCCAGTTTCTGGCAGGGGCTTGTGCATATGCCAGCCGCTACATGGTCATATCATATGCATCATGCGGCCCTCCAAGGGCAGCGCAGAAATATGGACCCTGATAGACTGGGTCCCACAGCCTCCAGGAAAGGCAACTCAAGCATTCCACTCAAGTTAATCATACAACAGAGTCCGGATTATTATCCTACTCTACAGATTGTTTCAAGAAAGAGCCCATTGTAACCGGCACTGCTGCTGGGGCACGATGCCTCATCTTTTCAAGTGTGCCTGTGTAACAGTTGCCTGTACAGAGAAGTCAAGATGCAAATGACATGAGAAATAAATGCACAGCTTACCCCTCCACCTGCTCATCCTCTTCTACATGTAAAATTTAAGGTAACGAGTTGGTTGAAATGCTCCACATCATATTTATAATTTTATTACAATTGTTTATTTGTTTGTTTGTTTGTTTTGTATGTAGGAGCACACTCATGTCACCCCATACATGTGGAGGTGAGAGGACAAATTTTAGGAGTAGGTTCTCTCCCTTCATCATGTGCATCCCGAGAACTGAACTCAGGTCATCAGACTTGGCTGCAAGCACCTTTTATCAGCTGAGCCATCTCACCAGCCCTCAATCATTTTTTTTTAAAATCACTTGCATATGATTCACTTTTACTTTTTCTTAAAATCATGGTGAAATATAATATATGTGCATAATTTTTAAGTCTAGAAATAACTCATTTGAATATTAACAAATTCATTTTATAGAGTTGAAGTGTTAGTCATAATAATTGGTATTCCGAATAAAACAGCAACCCCAATTATTTTTTTTGTTGCTGTAATAAAGGAAGTTATGAGGAGGACATGTTAACCTTTGAATCTGAAATAAGAATTTGCCAGTGGTGTCAGTTCGAGTTATAGATAAGGTATAGGGAGGCTATCTTCCAGTAATATTTGAAAAGGTCCTTTGCTCACAGAATTGGGGTAGACACTAAAGCCACCAACCAACTGGCCAGAGGAGATGGATGTCAACAAAGCCACCCCAAGGGATGATTTGAATAATGTCTGAATCTACACAGTCAGTGATTTGCAATGTCTTGTAGTCATCACTATGACCTAGAGAAATCTTTCAAAGTCCTGAGTGCCCTGACTGGATATCAGACAAGGAAGTCAGCAATTTGTAAGTCCCTTAGTGATCCCTTATGCAGCTGAATTTCAAAACTAGTAGCTAGACCACAGGCCAAACATGTCAACCCAATGAACACTTACAAAGTGATTACACTAAGCAGAGAAATCTTAAGGTCCCAAACAAAGAATGATGATACTATATCTATGAACCACCATTTAGGGTGCTGAGGCAGGATGATGGCAAATTTCTCAAAATCATTCTTGATAACATAGCCAGACCCTGTTACAAAAAAAAATTAACACAACAAAATAATGGGGGTATCCATTATTGTAAGTCAGAAATTTAAATCCCAAAGGGCATATCCAAAGGTAAAGAGTTAATTCTAGCAGAGGCAAATCCAGAGACAGTACATTATTTTTACCATTAAAACCGGGAAACTTACAGACGGGGTATCCCACGTGGCAGGAAGCCAACAAAGTCATGGGAGCCAAGGGCAGGCAGTGTCCCTGGATCTACAAACACAGTCCAGCTTCAGTGTTGATCAGAAGAAGAGTGGAAAGTTGGGTATGGGAACCCATGAACATGGGACCGAAGATTTTATATTTAATTCTGGGGACTCGAGAATTCCTTATCAAAATTATTATTACCAGAGCCAAGACGTACTGAATAATATCAATTTAGGCTGACTGGGTGATAAAAGACCTGGACCCAAGGACATAAGTTAGCAGAATATTGTGTCACAGTGGAAAAATGTAATACTATTGGCCAGAAATAAGGATGTGATAGTGAGGAAGTGAAGGAGAAAAAAGGGAGAAAAATGAATGCAATACTGTGAGGGAAAAGCTTCCACCCACAACATAACATAGACATCAAAGGTTTATTTCTGCTGTCCAAAGCACCAGAATATGGTTTCACACAATTAAAAATTAGCCTCTGTACTAATTCAAATTAATAAAGTACCTTCAAATGTCTGTTCAAATCTGTGGTTTTGGTAGGGTATATTACTATAGGATCCAATCATTCATATTTTGCATAATATCCTCACTGTAATATTCTAATTTTATTTTAATAATCATATTTCTGTGATTTGAGCATGCAAGTACCTTTCTATTTACAGCTCTTAAAACAAAATATCAGCCTAAAAATACAAAAACAAAAAAATCAGGAAATAATTTATCTACATAGTGGTTGATCTGATCCTCTAACGTATTTACACTAGGGGAATATGGTTTACATTATCAAAATTCTTTAACTACAATAAATAAAAGATGAGTCAAAAGAGGAAGAAGGAAAATATTAGAAAAATAAGTAAGTATATCTGATCTTTTATAAGACTGATAGACTCTCAGGAACATGATATATTCATATATGCATGTCTTGTAGCTAAGAAATCTGTACCATCTAGATTTGTCTGTAATGTTTACAATTGTAACAATTATGTTAACTTGATAAGCAAATGATTCTTAAAATGTTGTGTTTCAGGGAGGTTAGCATTGCAGGCTTAGCTATAAGATCATTGGCTCTCCTGTGACCTGAGATTTGGTCATGAACCACCTCCTCTGGAAGATTTGTGTAAAGTATATGTCTTATTCCACCATGTAGATATTGTTGTTTGCAACCATCAGCACTGATTAATGCTAGATACGTATATACAAAGTTGTTTTCACAACATATCCCTACACAAAGCAGTTGCATAATTCAATGGATGCCTCTATTTACTGCAACTCTTTTCCTGTCAATACCAGAAATGTTAAACAGTCTTCACTTATAAGTACATGCTTTTCAACACAGCACTTCATCATCCGGGGTCATTCATACACTCCTTGCACGCTCCTCAGAGAGCAAGTGGATAGATGAGGACAGTGTGTGTAGGTGGCAGCTTAAGAACATAAATGCTTTGAGATTTACTGGCACCTTGCCACACAGTGTGGTGGCTGCGGGTTGGTCATCCGCCTACCTTTGTGCTGTACCCCTTGAGTCATAGCTTTTACCAGGTTGCCAAAATTACATAATTGTCCATTAACTCAATTACTTACCAGGCCTTGGACTCCATGAAAAATTTTAAATACCATTTAAAATACCATGTGCCAGGGTCTGAGAGTGAATGCAGAGAGAAGAGTACAAATGCCCAGCAAGGATTGTAGAGGGGTGAGCTACTAAGAGAAGTAACTGTCTGCAGCTAGGAGAAGTGATGCCAGTGACTCACAAGCTTGAGCATGTGCCATGCCGCTTGGCTAACCACTCGGACCTAAATGCTTGACCTCACTATCAGCTCTCAAATTCAGGAAGTCTGGGATAAGGCCTGAAATTTTTTCATGTCTAACAAGCTCCCAGTTGATGCTGAGGTGACTGGCCTGTGGAACCTACATTCACTTTTATGTCATAGATGTAGACGTTTGAAAAGAGCAGTAGTTTAGCAAGGCATGTTGCTGATAAATCTAAAAGACCACATGGCCTACGTGCTCAATGGAAGACATTCCAGGCTGCAGAAAGGAGCCCACCTCACTTGAGACAGTACTTGCCGCATCAAACTGATGATGAGATTCATCTGGGAAGCTGTTAATATCTCTGGGTGTAAGACTAAGGAATCTGTGTAACAAATCTGCCAAGAAGTTTTCTCCTATTAGGAATAAAAATTACATACTTTGAACTAAGGCCTATAGCATGAAAGATGATCATTTCTACAGAAGTTCTAGTATAAAGGGTTTAACTGGAATGTATAAGGTGTCAGATAATGCACAGGACCTGACTTAAACCTGAAATTAGATAACAATGGATACTCTCGATACAGCAGATCCCATGCAATGCTCTCTGTTGCTTATATGAAATGCATACTTAGCAATGTATCTGCTCTTTTAATTTGCTGAATCTGACAACTCTAAGGCCATGGTGTGTGTCAAATGGGCAGGAGGACCAGAAAGAATAAAGAAGAAAGAACACTACTAGGCTAAATAGATCAAGTGTTATTTTTCACATGGTATGGAAGAGACTGAACACACAGTAGCTTCTGTGTAAAGGTCTTTTGATTGCATAAATCTTCCCAAGGTGCTGAAGTATACATAGCAATGTTATATGAAGTTTGCAAAGGTCAAACATTATTGTATCATTTTTTAATAAAAAGAAACCACCTCTCAATTCAGTCCAGCTGACAGCCAATGCTAACCATCATAGACTCCAGGTACACACTCCAGGCTTAAATCATACAATAAATCCCAGAGCATTTGAAAATCTTTCTGCCCCTGCTTAATCAAGAACTGCTACCAGAAACTTAAGTGTCCTCAACGCTGGCAAAGGGCAGCTTCCCCCGAAGCACTCTGGCACCACACCAGAAACATTCCATTTCTCAAATACGTTTGACCATGGAGCATCTTAACACTACCATCCATGCATTTGGCAGACACTGAGTCATGCCTTGTTAGAAAAGCGTGTCCTTGTTGCCAGAGTATTGATAAGTATATATTCGAAAGCTGGGAAAGACGGTATTCTCAGGTCAGGGTGAAAACCAGTTATATCCTAAAGAACACTGATGTTTGTAGATAACCACTTGCAGAATAGACTACTTAAGGGAAAACAACTCATTGGCTTGAGTAATTGGAGAGTCTGGACCTCAACAAAGACAACTCAAATCTGACTTCCCCTTTCATTCCAGTAGAAGTTCAGGATGAGGAAAGTAACTAAATAGAAACCATGTTGGACCAGACCAAAAGGGATGTGAACAAAAGATTACCAAGTAACCAACTATGTGAATGGATATTTTCATATTTCTGAAAAGTGTTATAGTTTCATTATAATATGGTTGGGAAATCTTTGTTTTAACACACTTGGAGCAAGTTATTCCTTTGAGAACTTTAACAAATAGAAAAAGAGAATTGCCTACAAGAGAGAATTGTGTGTGTTGAAGATGGTTGTGACCAGTAAATGAGTACTTTATTTAAGCCTTCTAACAAAAGTGATGTTTTAGTTCTTAGGTCAACAAAAGTCAATGTGGACATACCAAAACAATAAAGAATTGTAAATTTTGTATCAGGTAATATCAGAGCTCCCCTGCAAATGTTCCAGGTAGTATTCTGTTCATTTGCTATTGAGGCATTACAACTAAATACAGCTCTTGGTTGTTTTTAACACTGGGAGGTCACAGCCAAAGTTTAAGAAACAGAAAAACTATTAATTGGAAGAAACTGTTCATCAGTTAGAAATGAAGGAAATCACCTAAGATGAGGGAATAGAAAATGAAACAGGCTCCTGTATCATTCACTGGATCATTCATCAAAAAAATATTTGCTAAGTATCTGGAATGTGCCACAATATCCCAAATTCTATGTGGTAGGCAAAACAATATTCAAATAGTTCAGAGGGCTAAATTAGATCTTAGCAGAAGATACAACAGTAAACCATTTGCTTTAACTAAATGAAACATTTTCCAAAACCACCATATACCTGCTTTTAACCTAACCTAAAACCCACACAAACTTCCGAGTTAATATCTGTTTGCCATAGTAAATAGAAATTACTAGTTTTTTTCTGTTTGTTGGAAGCAAGTATCAACAAGGGCCAGAGGTACTTGAGCAAGATGTTGAGGTTAAAGGCAAGGATACCCTACCAACTAATTAGTGTATTAACAATGCAAAAATGATAAGTCACAAATCCACATGTTTGAAATTAATATGCTTAGCTATATCAGTTAATATGAATACAAACAGTTTCTAAAACTTGCAACTTATCTCAAAAGAAGAAATACTAGCAAATAGAATAGTCCAGAAAGAATTGAAACCCAAATAAGGAGATTGGCAGATAATGCTATTGTGTGATAACAACCTTGCAAAGAATGTGAAATGAAGTCCTCTTCTCATCTGTTGCCACTTCTGATTAGCATGGCAGTAACCAGGGGAGGGTGGCTTAAAGAAACGAAACAAGGTGACGAACCTGTGAAAATAGAACTCATAGAGGAATGGAGAAAATAACCTCCTGGCTTTTTAACCTGGTGTTTGTCTATTTGGCATTCACTACTGGAGGGATTATGAGATCTCTGCAGACAGGGGCTGATGGGTGTCCACAGAAGTGAGGAGTGTAGAGGCACCGAGTGACATGCTTTCTTCTTCATTGAGTTTCACCATGGAGAACATCAACTTTGTGGGTTTTTGGGGGGAGGGGGGCTATGCTTTGCTAAAGAACTGATAGAGATGTACATAAAACTAATTCAAATCTATAATCTTAAGATTTTGTCATAGAAGAAGCAACTAAATTTTGGGAACACAATTTTAATATAATTACCCACTTGGATACACCTCAAGCAAATTGTTTGAACCATCTAGTGGATGTTCAACTCTGTCATTTGTCTGTTTGGATATATTTATAACCTGTACTTCACTAATAGCCCTAGACCTGTGAGGTAACCAACAATATTCTGGGAAATTGGAAATATAAGTTTAGAAAAAAGAGATCAGAAAATAAGGGAAATATTGAGAGATTGGATAGAAGTACTAATAAATAGAGAGTGTTGCAGGAAGGATGAAGAAATCTACAAACACATGGCTATAATCTCTAAATTAGGATAAACAATGATATAAACCATGAAATATTATCAGAAAAGAATGTGTCTTGTCTATTGATTTCCAAGTTAATGTATGTTTTCATGTCCAAAGTGCTCAAAATTGCTCATTTATTTTTAAATTGTGTTATTCTTGACTTTTCTTAATAGATGAGTTTATGCATTTGTATCATATGACTGCACTGAACTTGTATTAAATCATGGTGGGGATAAAGTACTCCAGGGTGTGGTCTCTACCATTAAGTTGCTTGCAATCTATTAGAAGATGCTCATGGAGAAACTGGTCACAAGCAATGAAACTCAAAAGGTGATTCATTTGTATACTTGAGAACTATGAGCCTTGATACTAGATTGTCGTTTTGTAAAGGAAATGAACTTCGGATACCTTGAAGAAGATGTTGGATCTACCCAGCACTCTGCAGACCTTAACTCTGAGTGAAAGACTCATGAAGGAAGAGAGACATCACTCAGTCTGCCCTCCACTTTCTCACTTCCTGTCTCACTTCATTTTGGATTCTCCTAAGTATCAGATAAATACCCCTGAGAGAGGCTCTGCTTCCAGAGTGTCAAGAGTACAGGCATGGGCAACCTCACAATGAATTTGAAAGCTCCCTTGACTGTGAATTCCCTCCCAGTAATATTAGCTTATAGCCAACCATCCTTTAAATATTTCTAGGTAGCTTAAATATTAACAAAAGCCATGATCTCTTTTGGTAGCACAGGGATTGTGTTCACATCCTAGCTTGTCAATAGAAAGAAAAAGAAATACATTTGAATCAGGAAAAAGCTAGCACGCATCCATAATAATAAAACATGGATGATTGCTATCACAAGGAAGTAAAAGATCCCACCCTAAGCCATTTTCTTCTGGAATTTTTGGGATATGCACACAAGCACACAAAGCCAGCCTGGCATCTGCACGAGTAAAATACATCATCCAATGCTTAGAGCATTGCTTTCTTCCCTCTATGAATAATTTATTAGCATTGTACCTGCTGTTTCCAAGTGCACCGTAATGGTTTATTTATTAGTCTTAAAAACAGATGCTCATAACAAGACACAGGTTCTGTAAGATAGGTAACTAGTCCTCTAACGGTTGGAAGAGTTAAGGGGAAAGTGATGGGTTTAAGTCCTCAGGTGTAAGGATAAATAGATGTTTTCTATACAAATGGTACTGGTTTTGTTTTATTCTCTCACAGAGAAATTTCTCTTCTTGTAAGTTTTCTCTCATGTCAACCCTGCCTCATTTTCCTTCACATTTGTCGTTTAATTCTTTCCAGAGGAATTCTGACTCAGACAGAAAATAGAACATAGTCATGTTGTCCATTCAGGATCTCATAGATTTTGTGTCCTATGACTCAGTTAATAGATTCTCTCCAAAATAACAAATGTTATGTTGAGGAAGTAGCATTGAGTTATTTGCTTTTAAATGCAATATTAATTATAATGCAGTTTTCAGCATGTGGAAAGTTCTGTGAATCAATGATTGCAGGTAACAGTGTCTTGGGATATGTGATAACTTTTATTTCTACTGTTTTGTTTCTGCCTTGCTGTCTGCTGAAATTGCTACTTACATTTTTACCTGCTGGAATTTTAAAGGCGAGGTGATCTGAATTCATCTGCTATTTCTGTCATACACATTGTGTGTCCTACATAGGGAGTTGGCTTGTGGGGAGAGGTGAATGTGGCAGGCCACAATCATTTTCTTCTTCCCTCTGCCCCTACATCTAAAATTGGGGGTGCCTGCTACCTAGCCATGTTTCTGCCTGAGAGCCTCTCCTCTCCTATAAACATGATGCTTTCCTCTGGCCTCTCCTTTGTAATCATTCCAGCCAACAGCTTCAAGGGAACATACAGGAGACTAGGTGGGCAATCAATTAAATCTATCTGGAAACGAGCTGACCCTGAAACCCTCCCACTTACAAGCAAAACCAACTGGAATGCATTGAGAACTGTTTTGGATGGATTTGGGTCTGAGACATGTGACTGTGTCCATAAATGTGCCGCCCCCATTCCTCAAGGAACCAATCCTGAATGCACATAACTGCGGGTGGATCAAAAAGCTATTATAAATGAAATAAACTTTAGTGGCTTGTAAAGAATGCTTAATGGCATCTATTAGTGTGTTTAATATCTGTGTGTTCAGCATAGAGCCATCGTCATTGTGTTATTCGCTTTACAGCTTTGTCATTACCGCCTCCCAGGTGAAAGTAAGGAACCGTTAACTCATTCAGCACATTGAACACTAGGAAACACTATGGGTTAAGGTGGTATGAAACTAAGCCAGCCTTGCAAGGCAATACCGAAAAAAAATCAGAATGCAATAAAGAAATGTTGTTGTTACAGGTGACTACTTCACGCTGTCTGGATCCTTGTTTATTAATTGGGTACACAAGCTATTCTTGCATCTTGCCGTGGTCAGGCAGTATGATGCCAACACCATCCAGGACAGAAGTTTTAAAAGGCAAGTTATTTTTAAATGGTATAGTGATCTGGTAGACGGCATCAAAAAAAAAAAAAAAAAAAAACTCTGTATAGTGAATGCCTATCTATTCTTACTATCTAAAGAGAAAAATAAAATAAAATTTCCTTTTTCTGCTGGACCAAGATTATTTTCAAAGGCAGTATAGCACACCAGCACACAGTATCCCTCTGGTACAAAACTGACGAGAGAAAGGAAAATGTGATCCTTCTAGAATCTTCTAAAACAACAGTAACAATAAGTAATGTTTTTAAGGTGGAGTGCCACTGTGTGAGTTATATCTAGGTTTTCTCTAAAAGATAATTTTGCCCAGACCTAAAAGACTCAAAAGTTTCTCTACGCAGCCTCGATCATAAACTTTGCTTCAGCTGTGGCAGCTTGGATTCATTACCACTTAGTGGTAGCACTATTTAAACATGAATATTCCTGATATGAAAAGCTATTATAAATATATACAGATTTATATAAAGGTTGATGACTATAATGCTTTTTTATACTAGAAAAACCATGTGAACAGAAAATCAATCTGATGAATGCTGTTAATCATTTTAACTTTTTTATTAGGTATAAAATGTTCATACAAATATTCTCTCTATAACTTACCAGAATTTATCAGCTTGTATAATTTTTATAAGCAGAAGAGTCTGGTTTTCTAATTAAAGTTTTGTCAAAGAAAATGAATTGTGTGGTTCTTTCTCCAAGGACGCATACTATTAAAGTGTCAAAAGTTATGTCCAGGTCTTCTCATCTCCTGCCTGTGGTTTATAGATGAGACTGTATGCAGCCAACACATCTGGATTGAGGGCTTGTTAAATCCCAACTACTATGGAAACAATGAAGTCACATCTCACTGCTATCACAACACACTAACAGCAGAACTTCCATCTAACTAAAAGCTGATTAGACCGAAGACATCATCACGTTTACTTAAAAGTTACTTTTCTTATCTACTCCCTAAGTGGGCAAAATGCTAACATCACATCCTCAACATTGCCAGTCTTCCTCCAAAGAACTCTGAGAAATGTCCATATCTAGCAAATCTTTGTTGTTCCATTCCATATCCTAAAAGAGAAAATGCCCATACCACTGAATTTCAGCACCCAAGTGTCTTCATATAGTAGTTACTTGTCATCTTACTGAGACAATGTCTCTGAGGAAAACGACTGAGGGAAGGAAATGTTTATTCTGGCTCATCACCGCTGCAATTCATGCTGGGAGGCGTTTGAGGCATCTAGTCACACTGTGTCCTTGTGCCAAGAAACAGCGATCTGTGCATTCTGCTCAGCTCTCTTCTTTTCCTTCAGTCCAGGATCCCAACCCAAGAAATACTGACACATTTAGAGGTCTTCTCACCTCCAATAACCCAACCTAGAAATTCCATCCTAGATGTGCCCAGAGGTGTGTTTCTATGGTAATTTTAAACCCTATCAAGCTGGCAGTCAAGATCAACCAAGACACCCTAGAAAATATGAGTAAGAATAATGAAAAAGGCATGAACTAAATAATGTGTGTTAGCATGGCCACTGACGAATCCCTTATGAAATCATTAATTAGTAAGGAAAATATTAGCAGAGTTTTCGTCTCCAAGGAGTCTGCCTTGCCAGTGTGCTAGGAACAAGTTGTTTGAGAAAAATGTGAAGACTAAACAAAAAGAATCCTCCAAAAGATGAAGTTTAAGGTCATGCATCATTGTAATTTCACTCCCTTGATCTTGAAGGCTTGCCTGTTCCCACTAGCGTCCCATCCCAAGTGTTCTAGCTAGACATTTGTTGCTGTTATAAACAGTAGGACCCAAAGCAACTTGGGGAAGAAAGGCAGGCTGACTTAAAGGTTATAGTCCATCATCTAGAGAAGCCAGGGCAGAAGTTCAAGGAAGACACCTGGAGACTGGGACTGAAGCAGAGACCAGGGAAGAATGCTGCTGACTAGCTTTCTCCCCAGGGCTAGCTCAGCCTGCCTTCTTATACAACCCAGCATCACCTGCCCAGGGGTGACACCACCCGCAATAGGCTGGGCCCTCCCACAGTAACCATCAATCAAGAAAATGTCCCACAAACTTGCCTACAGTCCATTGAAATAGAGACATTTCCTCAACTGAGGCTCCCTCCTCCAAGATGACTCTAGTTTGTGTCAAGTTGACAAACATAACCGCTCACCAGGCCTCTGGAGAATGTGATAAATACCGTAAGTTGGTAGTGATGAGAGTCCACTTAGTCATTACCACTTGAGTAGGACTTAGCAAAAGTATGAATTGTTTCTTCCCCACCCCCCACCGAGGATCAATGCACTATTGCTCTAACTGGAATAAAGTAGCTTGAAATAACTTTCACCTCTTCCAGAACCTGTTAAAGTCCAAAAACCATTTTTAAAAGTCAATCAGTTGTAAGTATTTGCAATAGAAAATCCTCATGACCCAAAGTATACATAGCTGAAAGGTCAGATGTCATAACAGGCTTCAAAGCAGTGTTACAGTGAGTGAGAGGGCTGGTGGGTGGTATCTCTATGTAGTCCAAGCTAGCTCAAACTCAGCATCGTTCTGCAGGGTAAATATTTTAAAATTAAAACGAAACTGGTCAAGAACTAAGCTGCCTGTCTCTGCTCTTAGCATTGGCATTATAACCTCTGGATCTTTACTTACAAATTAACTAGTTCATACTTCACAACACTGACAGTCTAGATGTGAATGCTGCGCAGACTGCACTGGGAATGTCGTATACTAATATTTCTCCATGAGTATAATGTTCTTCTTAGAAGTTAGTACAGGAAAGGAGAATAAAGATGGCACTTTGAACCATAAAGACCTCAACAAGTACTATTTGTTAAAGTTACCATTAGTATGGTGAGAAATGAAGACAATCATAAGAGGAGCTGGAGAGATGGCTTCAACTGGAAAGACCCATTCCCAGCCCACAACAAAAGCTGGGCACAGTACCTCACATCTGGAACCACAGTACTACGAGCAGAATGAGACAGGAAGGTTCTTGGATCTAATTGACCAGTCACCCTGGCTGAGTAGATGAGAAGCCCTGTCTCAGGAAATAAGATTGAGCATGAATAAGAAGGGCATCTAATATTGACTTCTGGCCTACACACACACACACACACACACACACACACACACACACACACACACACAAACAAGTATGTACACACAAAAAAAAAGTAAAGGGAAAAACAGTGGGTATCTAATTCATTGCAAAAGGAACTGTGAGGATCATGCTTTAATTAAAAAAAATCATCCAATATGGAACAGAAAATGAATATATAAAGAATGTGTTCATACAGTCAGATTTCAAAAGGCATTTTAGATAATATTCCTGAAACCTTGCTTGCAAATTCCTCAGGTTCTGCATATTCCTGTGTCTGGAAAGCTGACAACATCACTAAATGAGCAGAAATGAATCTTGCTACAGAGAGGTGTCACCCATACCCCCTAGAGTCAAATATTGTTTTACATCTTCATTGTCAATTCTGAACCATGTAGCTGAAAGTTTTCCAATGTCCTGCCTGGTCAGGACAAATCTCTCTCACCCACCAGTCCTGCAGCTGCTCGGACCCAAATAAACACACACAGGCTAATATTGTTTTTAAACTATGGCCACAGCAGGCTTCTAGTTAACTAGCTCTTATATCTTAAATTAACCCATTTCTATAAATCTATACTTTGCAACATGGCTCATGGATTACTGGTATCTTTACATGGCAGTGGCTAGCAGCGTCTCCCCTGCTCTGTCTTCTTCCTTCCTCTCTCTCTCTTTAGAATGCCCCACCTAACCTTTTTCTGCCTCACCATTGGCCAAACAGCTTTATTTATCAAGCAATCAGAGCAACATATTTTCACAGTATACAGAAAGACATTCCCCAATCAGAACTACTGAAAAATGAAATCTACAACTTATCCTAAAGCAGGCAATGTTGCTAAGCATCAAAGAGAGAAAAAAATTAAAGTACAGGCATAAAGAGGCAAGCCTGGAAGAACTCAAGTAAGTGGGCTGAGAAATTATAAGAATTTGACCAGAAACCTGGGTGTAGAGGGGCAGTGAGGAGAAGCACTACAGAGAAGGTGTTGGCTAGCAAAGCTGGACAAAGATGTGAGAGAGCAAGCTGCAAGTGCATTTGTAATATTAATAAGAAATAAATAGGTCAGCGCTATTCGGGGTGACTTGTGGCATCAGTCTGAGAGATGAAAATAGTTTTTATATACCACTGAAATGAAGGAGATTGGCCACTTCCAGTGCCAAAAGAGTTTGGGACAAATTGCAAGACTCAATAGTATAAGAAAAGATTGGACGTGGTTAGATTAGTACACATACAGAAATAGACAAAGCTAGGAAAACTGGAACAGAGACACAGTAGCAGTGCAAGTCAGGAAGAACATAACAGATCTGAGCCAGGGAATACAAAATAAGTACCGCTTGTTCATTCTCTGTTGGGTTCTCATGCTGATAGATGATTGAAGAGGCAGCTGATGCATCCAGAGAGTCCGTGCCATTGTCCCACTCACATGAAGACTGCAGCAGACAGAGGAATAGCTAAGCAGGGATTCTGAATTTGTCACTGTAGAACCCTTTCTTCAAAGGCAGAAACTGAATACCTAGAGCAAATGAGAACCACCCCTCTGAACACAGGAGACTGCCATTCCTCTGACTTTATTTCCAAAGCCCCAAGGTCTTTGGAAAGTTTGGAGAGTCATTGGTGAATCCAAAGGCAGAAAGGCTCCTTTAACTATGCTTCTAAGACTCGGAGCTTCTCAACCTTCCTAACACTGTGACCCCTAATACAGTTCTTCATGCTGTGGTGACTCCCAACCATAAAATTGTTTTGTTGCTACTTCATAACTGTAGTGTGAATATATGATATTCAGGATA